TATCCATATTAAATGGAGGGGAGAGGACCTCATCTTAGAATCGAGTAAATATGGTATACTGAATTCAGGACTACATTATATTATATCTTTTTTTTTTTCTTGTGGCAGTATTGCCTGACCTCTCACGTTCATTTTGGATCTCAGCCAGCCCATGGACCCACTGAGTTAGGCACAAGCATATAGAACATGACGGACCCTTCCAGAAAGACCTTGCAGTCTGTGACCCTGATCTTGAAAAGATGTTTGCTCATGGAAAACTTGGTTTCCTTTTAGCAGCCCCGTTGACTCTTATGGGAGCCTTCATAGTGTATGAACAGGTGCCAGCCAGTGCAGGATCAAAGCCTAAGAGAGAAGATGAAATGCATACCAAGTCAATGAGGAGTGTGAGAGGGTAGATTAACACAAATAATCTAATGTTTATATTCCCCCACTGTTCCCTCGCTGTAACCAGGATGTCCCTAGCATGAATCCAATAGTACTTTGCATAGTAAGGCAAATGAAAACTAATGCCTAGCACAAGCCAAGATTCAAGATATAGTGTCATTAAGATTGTTTCAGTGAATACCTATTCTGAAGTGTTAGGCTTTTCTGGCCATTCAGATCATATTGGAATAGGATCTCATAGCCTATTCTCTAGCCCAATGCAGGTAATTCCTATGAACATTAACGGTAGCTGTGAGGACACAAAAGAGAAAAGAATATCGCTTTAAATATTTGTCAGTTCTTTTCACTCCTCCTGCCATGAATAGTTGAAATGTCTGAAGTTATTTTAGGGCAGCTAAAAGCATTGCACATTTTGAAAATGCAAAAATTGTGTTGTTTAAAGTTTATAAAATGGTTGAAATATGTAAAAGTGCATTCACTTATACATCCATTCAGTTAAACCTGGAACCTAAATCTGAACAGCTTTGTGCGTGTGTGCATGTGCGTGCTTCACACCTGCCTCTGAGAATCGAAAACACGTGCCTATAGTTTAGATTTTGGATCTCAGCCATAACCAGAAATGGTTAATTTTCCAGGTATAGTACAGATGAGGTATAAATGTTGCATGACCTGTGAGAATTCAGTACTGCGTAATCTGTTTTGGCACTGTGAGCCCTGATTTAACCTTGAACTCAATGTCTAACCTAAACCTAAACCTAAATCTAGATCCAGATGTAAGCATTTTCTTTGCAGTCCTTCACCATATATACTACTGATTTTCATTTTCCTTTTCTTTCTTTCCTTTCTTTAGAATCTGGTACAGGTTTCAGAAAATGCACAACATCCATTCTCATTACACCTTCGCAATTGTACTTGTATTTCTGGGCTTGTGCAGGTATAACAGAGAACAGTGAAACCACTGTGAAATGAAATATAGATATTTTCTGCCATGATCTGGTTTCAGGCTTCTGAGTTGTCAACACTTAAAGGACTTGATTTAGTAGGATTTTAAAAAAGGACCTAATTGAGTTGGACTCCTGAGTTCCATTGATTTAAATTGGACTTAAGTGTTCAACATTCACAGGCAGTTTTGGAAATCCTACTTTTATACAATTGAGATATACAAGTGATCCCAGTAATTTTAGCAGGATTTAATTTGCATCAGTGCTTTGCTTGATCTGGATGCTTTCTATCTTGAAAAAGCTTATGATTTCTGACAAACTCCCTCTTGGATTGGCTAGTTTGCGTGAAAGTTTTTTCTTGGATTTGCCAATGGTGTGAACTCAACTAGGGCTTTTAAGTCAATTTAGATTAATTTTACCAAGTCATGTCTTGATTTAGACCATATGAAAACAGCAGTGTATATAGATGTTTATTCCACAAATACTGCAGTCAGGGTGCATCCAAATAAGTGCAAACGTGCAGTTTATGGCACTGCAGACCTGTCTCCGGTGGCACAAACCACACACACTGCACATGCAGGCATTTGCCACACTGCTGATTTGCAGCATGGCAGGGTTGAGTTTTTTTTTGAGGGGGGAACCCAAGCAGAAAAAAGCAAGGCAATGGACAGGGTGGTAGTGTGCGCCACCTGAAACTGGAACCTGGCCAGCTGGAGCCACACTCCAGCTGTCAGCCTGGCTCTATGCTGCTGCTGGAGCCCCGGGAGGAACACAAAACCCCAATCTGCTGGGACCAGTCCGGATGCTGGGCTCAGTCTCCCCTACCCAACCTGGGGCAACTTGTTGTGCACCAGAGTGTGCGTGTACATAGTTGTGCCACTGCCATTTGTCCCCGGGGAAATGCCTGTGCCCACTCGTTTGGACATGGCCAGGCAGTTCATTGGTAGGGACTACTAGTTGAAATAGTAAACTTCAAGCTCATATTTACGGAAAGTGTATTTAAAACATGAGAGTTCCTCCACACAACTAGACATTAAAAATAATCCAATCAAGTGACAAAAAATATGCCTTATTACATGTCAAGCTGACTTGATTTTTTAATACTTTTGGATAATCTAGTTGAGGATTATTTAGAAGATAATTTCAAGGAACAGATCCATTTAAGAAAATTGCTGTCTGCTTGCTGATAATTTGTGAACAAAAATAGAAGCAACATTTACCAAACAAATGGTTTGTAATTCACCCTCTCTTGAGTAGGCAGGAAAGTGAAAATAAATTGCATGTCGCTTTTCTCATTAGGACCAGGTAAATGCAGGAGATGCATCTGTTATGACTCATTTTGCACAATTGTCATTTTCTACTGAATGAATAGTATTTCTGAGCAAAAGAAAAATATAAGCAGAAAGGGCTAAGCAGATTCTGATGCATTATAAATGCCTATTTGATGTCTACTTGCTTCCTGGAATCTATGGATTAGGTAATTTATGGCTCCCGCTGTCTCATTTTAGAGAAGTAGCAAAACTTGAAAGATAGAAGACCAAAGCACACTTGTTTCCACTGATTGAAAACTGCCTGGGGGTTGAGGGGAGGGTGTAACCAATTTGTTTGAATAAACTGTTCATAAGTTTCCACTTTGAGAGATTTGTAATCGTTATTTAATAAAAGCTTGTCATAAAGACCACTTTTTAGGGTCTGGATGGTATAGAGATGAGGTTTTATACAGAAGTCCATTTACATGAAAAATATACAGAATGTGGTAGACCAAGAAAAATAAGGCTCTATGTAATATTTTTGTATTTTACAGCATGTTTTCCTTTATTTTACATTAAGTGATAGATCACTCTGAAAAGAATAAGTGTTAGATTCATAAACTATAATGGCATGAGGTTAGCTGGTTTGTTAAGCTGGTTTGGGTAGATTCTCCCTTGTGGATACAGCCAGCACAGAACCTTGCTTTTAGCCCTTCTGCCCCTATTTTGAGATTTTAAATGATGCCCAGTCCTTACCTACCCCACTGCACAGGGCTGAATTCACCCAGGAGATTAAGTGCAAGAGAGAAAGGCTCTGTCCTATGAAAAGGCAGTGAAATATAGCTCACAGGACACTTGATGTATGTACAGCACCAGCACAGTGAAAGCCTGATTTCAATTAGAGCCTTTTGGCACGAGGGCAATACTTCAACCAAAACAAGATATCTAGCTTTAGATTAATCTCTGGTTGATAAAAGTTCACATTATAAATGTTCAGACTCAGGGTCTGACAGGCTGCAGCCCCTGCTTAGGCAATGGGCAAGGGGGGCAGGCGGGAGTACTGGTACCCACCCTGGGAGCTCCAGATGAAATACTGTGGCCACTTCCCAGTCTGTGTGATCAGCCGAGGACCTTCCCCCTCCCTGGTTAGTGAGATTGGCTGTGGGGGAACCCCAACCCTGGTCGCTGACTGGTGGCTGGGGGGCATGTGCCCCCCCTGACTAAGGTGGCACCAGTTGCCCATGAGGGCTGCTATGTATCCTTTTACAAGCAGGAAGCTGAGGCCCAAATTTTCGTCAATGAAAACACCAAATATATTGAACAGCATTTCCTCAAGCAGTATTCAAACTTCATAATGTGGAGAGTGGCTAAGTAGTAAGACAGTATTGTGGATCATGGTTTTCCTTCTACTTCCCACACCTCAAAACACCCTGTGGGAACAACAGCAACTGCTTGCTTAGAAAAATATGAGTAGGAAAATACTTGTATGTTATTTAATGACATTTAGTAGACAGAAGCAAAGAGGAACCAAAACCTTTTGACTGACACTTCAGTAATACATGGTTCAAGTATCTCTGAGGGTCCAAATGTCACAGTTTGAGAGAGAGTCTCCTCAAACATAAAGCTTTGACACATCTCCTTTAAAAAGGCTCTACATATTGTGCACAGGCCCCTGTTAATTATGGCTGCGTGTGTGTGTATGTCCTTTTTGTTTGGCACTCATGCTTTGTTTCTGGCACTGGTGTCAGTCTTTCTGGCAGCTGGTAGCTGGATTATAAGGCTTTGCAAATTGCCTTCCTTCCCTTCGAGGAAAAGTGAGCAATGGGAAGTCTGGGCATATCCTAAGTGTATCTTCCTTGACTGAAACTATGTGGACCTGGACAGGAAGAGAGAACATCACAAACATGTGCAGCCAATTCCTTCCTTGAGATTCTGCCCCAACATAGGGTACACTCTGTACTAAGAATTGCTTCCCAATACAAAGAATAAACCAGAGGGCGAGCTCTGTTCCCTGCCACAGCTTGTCTTGGAGTGTGTAACAGAAGTAACATTGTGCATTCCTTCAAAGACTGAAAGCTTACTTGTATGCCAAAAGAAGACTCTTTGTAACCAGGCCATCCAGTTACTCCTGCCACATGGAAACCATGTCTACAAATGACACTTCACTGCACAGTAGATTAGTCTACTGTGCATTAAAGTGTCACTGGCTACACATGCAGGTGCTTACTAATCAGTAAATTAGTCTCCTATGCAGTAAATTTACTACCTGCATATGCAGGTAGTAAATATGCAAATACGTACTACACAGTAAATTTACCATGCAGTAAAGCCAAACAGCATTGATTGCATGTGTAAATGCGTCCAGAGTGATTGAAAGGAGTCCAGCATAGTACAAATAGATACTAATCTAACTTGTGTTTCTCAGCCTGCAGATCAATGGGGACAGGGATGATGCTGAGCTCCTGGGCCACCTCCTCCATTGAAGAAGTTGCAGAAGCAGCTCCTGATGGCCTTCGCTGGCTGCAGCTTTATATCTACAAGGACCGGGAGGTCACTAAAGCACTTGTGCAGCGAGCAGAGAAAGCAGGCTACAAAGGAATCTTTGTGACCGTGGACACGCCGCTCCTTGGCAAACGCTTTGATGATGTACGCAACAGGTTCCAGCTCCCCCCTTACCTCAGGTACTGACCAGGCTGCTGCTCCGGAAAGGGTGTATTCGCCTTGGGCATGCTCCTCGCCTCCCTCTGCAATGTTGTTTGTTGTTGTTGGGTTGTTTCCTTCTGCTGAGAGGAGGACATTTTTCTCGATTACAAATGTCTCTTTTCCATTTACTATGCCAGGAGTTGAGCAAGCTCCCTCTGTAATGCTTCTCTTGCCCTTGCCAGATATAGGAGCCTGCTTGAGAACACCCTCCTTTCCTGGGGCTGCTGGGCTTTCTTAGCTGAGCGTAGTGATAAAGAAGAAGACAGTGTGTACAGTAGCTGGGCTGAATGAAGCTGCCAGTATGAGAGAGAACCTGAAGGGGTTTATTTGTTTTAGTATATTTGTGTAAGTAGTTTTTCTTTATGAAGGCATTCATCTGTGTAGTGTATTTGTGCATCTCGGGACTCATTCTATAGGTGGAGCCATCCATTGGCAACCATAGCCCAGACTGTTTCATCTCTTGAGCACTAAGTGGATTTAAGCACCTAAGTGCTATTCTGTTTCATTTTATTCGTGAAATCCATTAATACATCTACTTTTGTAAGACATCATTATTTGACCCTTAACACTGAATTGCAAAACAGCAGAGAGGAGGAGGACTTGCACACCTTTTGCACAAACAAGGACTTGAACAGAATAGAATAGAACTGCATGTAGGTGCCTAAGTCCACTTTCATTCCTAGTAGGTGGAATAGACTCTGTCCTCTCTAGGCTGTAGTACTTGTGGGGTGTTTTGCACCGATTAAAGCTGTCACCTCCACTCTGCTTTGAGAGTTAATATGCAGAATCAAGTGACAGACTCTGATTTCTCTTTCATACCTATTCAGATGCCATGTGATTCAAAGATGAGCCCATTTAGGCAGGGGGATATTTCCTTGCACTTCTATAAAATAGAAGAGTGCTTTGCATCATAGAAGATAATTACCATACATTAAGAATTTTGAGCAATATCTAACACAGAGGAACTGCACCAATGTACATGCATGAAGAGACTGAAGTGTGTCAGCTTCTTCATGAGCTACATGAAAATCACAGTGTAGCATAACTTCTTTTGCCATCACTCCAACAACTGCATTGATGTAAGTGTCTCATATTTTCCAGTCCTACCGGGACATACTTTCTGGTTGAACAGTTCTTTGAGGGAGGCCATCTCTGCCTGGGTTATGCCCCATTATCCATTTCCCCTTATGAGAAATGGAGACATTATGGGAAAAGGGACACATCTGTCCCTCAGGAAGGTCACCAAGTGCCTCTCCACCAAGTATAGTACCACATTTCCAACAGCTTTGTCTTGAGATTTCGCTGAACATAACAGTCTACCTCTCTCTGCCTTTCTATATGCTCCTATTTCCATTCTTGCACCTCATTTTAGAACCTGTATAGTCTATGATACACTACAGCTGCAGCCTCCTGAGTTACCTCAGCAATCATTTCAGGTTGCCTTTATCCCAGGGCTCAAGTATTTAAATGCATGTTTCCAAGAATATTCTATGTGCGTCTCTAACACTAATTTGACAAGGGGTCAGGACCTCAGCCGGTACAAATTGGCATACGTCCATTAAGTCCATTCACTTGTTTGCAATTTAAAGTTGGTTAAATAAGCATCCAGTAGCTTGATATTTAATCTGGCTTGTTCACCATGTTGTCTAATCAGGGATGATTTGGGCTAAAGAAACAGATTTATTTCAGGAGTTATCCTCATTCATCGTGCAGCCAAGGGGGCTCAGTCATGCATGCTGTTTGGGCTGCTACCTCTTAAATATTAGGTGCTCATCATGAAACAGTGGTAACTCAGTGTGCATCCTAACCATCCTTTTCTTACACGTCTGCCTGCTTGATTTATCATTTACTTCTTATGAAGCACTTTGAATCTCCATGCACTTAAAGCTGGTAGAACATTTCTGGGACTGTGAAATCTAAGTCACAGGAGTACCTTGAGGAAAATCTGCTTTTAATGGATTGAACCATGTAAAATTCTAATACTGGAGTAATATGTAACTAGAATACTTGAGATTTTTTTTATGAAATGGCATTCATGTTGGTTTTTCATTTCAGAGTCATAGGTGAAATTCTCCAGTGTGGTACTCTCTTAAGTTATGTGATAACTTTTTCTTGGCTTCAGACTTTCAACAAAGTTTCAGAGTAACAACAAGGTGCCATTGTGCACAGAAATTTATGTAAGGCAACATTCATTCAAGTGTTGATCTGCATTTCAGAGTCCAAGAAAAACAACAGTTATTTATATAATCTTATCCGTGGGCCTGTTTTTTCCTATCCGTCCTGCCTCCCCACAAACCAACAGCTGAGAAGCTGGGTCTTGCCTACCAGGGTAGTGAGCATGCGGACAGCTCCTTTCTCATTTTCTCTGAATGCTGCGACTAGAACAGCAGAGCAAAGGTGTAAATCCATGCCAAACTCAGCCGGTTCCTGATTTGGATGCAGAAGTAAAACCAGCCATTTTTTTTCACATGAAAGTTTCCCAGTCTTTTCACAAATGCAAAATGAAATGCCATGCTATCACAGAATAAGCAACACTTTGAAGAAGCCGAGCCGGCCAATGGTTAGATCTGTAACTTGGTGCACATGTGACCTGATTTCTAATCTCGGTTCTGTTACTGACCTGCTATATGACTTTGGGCAAGCCATTTTGCCTATCCATCATATGTTTTCTTTTCTCACTTTTTCTATTAGCAATCTACAGCCTTTAAGACAGGGACTGGTTCTTAGTTTGTATACATACAACACCTTTCATGAAATGGGTGTCCAGCTGGGGGGTGTCAAGATGCTACCAGAATACATATAATACATTTTCAATGTTTAATTGGTTTTATATTTTATAAAGAAGCCATGTCATCTAGTCTTGTTAATTCTATTGGTCAAATTTAATTTTCAAGGGTTTGTGAGCCCTTATATACCCCTATGCAATGCATAGAACTTAACAAAACTCACAGCATTTGTGTGTGTCTCCCATTCCTCTTCATTTTGCTCAGAAAAATATCTGAACCTTCATTTATTTGAACTTTCCAATAATATTCACCTTCAGGCAGTGACCAAGGAGGAAAATTTCAGTCTGAAAGATAAACCATTCAGAAACATACATACAAGTGAAAACAGGGCAGTTGGAGTAGAAAGCCTAACTATTAGTTGCTGCTAAGGTTGATGAGTCTCTTGTGAATTTCTGTGAGGAGGTAAACCTGTGAACTGGCTTGCAGAAGTTGCATCAGGGTGAATTTTCTTTATATTCTTCTAGCTTCATGCTAACACCAGGCATGTTCATGGATGAACCAGGAGACAGCTACAGGCTGGATGCATGGGTGAAAGCCTGGTTGCATTAATGTCAAAAGGAGTTTTGTTACTTATGTCAATGAGTATAGGGTTCTCACACTGACATCAGTGGGTTCTGGCTTATGACTTAAAGGGTCAGGTCTGGTGAAGGAGAAGGATGATCTGTCTGTCTTTGATGCATATCTACCTTCAACCATGATAATGTCTGATTTCCTCACAGTCTGAAATGCATTTTTCCTTTATCCTCAGAAGGCAAGGAATGTTCTTGCTCCCTTTTTCATAGATGGAGAACTGAGGCACAGAGGGTTTTGTCTAAAACTATACAGGGAGTGTGTGGCAGAGCAGGCATTTGAACTGCAGTCCTAAGATAGGTCCGTAACCACTGGAATATCTTTACTCTTTATGTTTTCAATTCCTGATTCTGATTCAGTCTGTGGACTTGGGCCAGATCTTAGTTCTCTTGCAGGTGAGGGAAGGGTTGTTATAGACTCCAAAGAGAATAGTTTGGGTCCCTTTGTTTCAAGTTACAAGATGCATGACTGACCATGTGTTTTGGTTTTGAATACTGACTATTGTTGTAAATCAAGGGAGTGGAATGTATGGCCCTGGGTGGATCTGGCCCATTCATCTCTGTTTTCTGGCCTGCGGGGCTCTCAGAAGAGTTAAGAATTCAGGGGTGGAGTAAATAGGGGAATCTGGGGCATGAAGCCTCACTGGAGGCATATGTCAGCGGGTGGGAGGTGAGTGATGGCTGCATTAACCCCTGTAGCTGCTACCGCTGCTCACCCTACTGTCAGCAGCTTACCATACTGCTGCCACATCTGGATCCAGCCTACAAGGAGCCCCGCAGTCTGAAAGTGGCCCAGGAAGCTGGTGTGTTTGCTGTAAATATTAGGATGTGCACCCTTGCTATTTCTGTGCACAGTTGCAAGGTGAGGGGGGCTGCTGGCATGGAGCTTGTGACAGGGCTGGTACTTTATAGACGGCATTTTTAATGCTGCTCATTTTTCAGGTTAATTTTCCTTTCCCTTCTTTGCAACTTTAGAATGAAAAATTTTGAAACCAACGATTTGGCCTTTTCCTCTGAAAAAGGCTATGGAGAAAACAGTGGTCTGGCTGTGTATGTGGCACAGGCCATTGACCCATCCATCCAGTGGAAGGATGTTAAATGGCTGAGAGGACTGACTTCACTACCCATTGTCGCTAAAGGCATCCTGCGAGGTGAGGTTCACAGAAGTGAAAGCTATGCTGTACCATGTAATGAGAGTAGGTGAGACTTAATTTATTCGAATCCATACCAATAACACCTTTGATGTTGCTTTATTTGTGCTGATTTCCCCCCACAAGTAAATGGTGAGCATCTGTCCACATAAGTAAGTACAAGAACTATACAGAGAGGGCATGATTTTGCTTTTCTGTTTTTCAAAATACTGTCATAACCCAGGCTTTGATTGGGGTGCATGTCTTAAGTGGGGAAGCTGATTTTTCTCTGATGGAATGGAAGTATGGAGACACTGTACTCTAGTGGCCTCCAAAATGGCTGCTACTTATCTCTGGCCCAGCAAACAGCAGAGGTAGAGTCTAATTTTAACACTTTTACAGCTGCTAAGACATTGGCAGTAGTTTTTGGCTCCGCAGCCAAAAGTTGCTACTAATTCCTTAGCATCTGTGAGAGGGTTAACACTGTACTTGTGCCTGAAGAAGTCATTGAGCTGGTTGAGAACAAGTGAGTGGCTGCATGCAGTCAGCTATGATTCTGGAAAAATCTTTCTTTTTATCTTCTGCCTTCCAAAAATAAGGTGCATTTCTTATGTGGGGGTGTGTAGTACGTGAGAAAATACAGTAATTAATTGTCATTAGATTCAATGCTTTGGTGTGTTGCTGAATAGGGATGGCATACTGGAGTAAGGCTAAAGTCAGTCAAATGGAGAGAGTTTGTGAAGCGGAAGTCATCATCAAAAAA